TTCTGTGCGGATGGTGTGTGAGTACCCTGGACGGGGAGGGGAGTCCCCTCATCACGAAGCCCACGCAGCTGCACACACCGCAAGCCGACGCACAGCCAGTGCTCAATGAACCACTCACTCATTGGCGTGTCTGCCTGTCTGTTGTGTGTACCCTACCGTCTGGTCGGCCGCCGCCAGGGCACAGAGGAGGCCAACGAGGACGAAGAGCCGATGCATCTTTGGCCGGCTGACTGACAGGAATCCCAGGCAAAGCAGGCACAGGCAGGCACAAGCAGGCACAAGCAGGCAAGCAGAGGCACAAGTAGAGCACTGGCACAAGCGATGGAATGACGCGAGGAGAGGCCAGTGCAGTGGGGCTGCTGACGAAGACAGCAGCCGACAGGAAGACACAGATCTCTCTCCTCTCCCCCTCTCCAATACATCGCGATAGAGGAGAGGAAAAGAGAGCGGGAGAGCACTTCGCAGGGTTAGGGCTAAGCTCGCATTTTGACCCCAAAGCTCGCAACTTTCGCGTCATCCGATATCCCGTGGCGCCATCGCTTCTTGGCGTGTCCGGCGATCGCATTTTCGATTTGTTTGATTGACTGAGCGAGTTGAGTTGTGCTAGCTATTGGTTTGCTTAAGGCAAGATGTTGAAGTGGCTGGGAGTGAACAAGAAGAAGCAGAAGGAGGACGAGATATTCGACTCCGTCAGAAGTGAGTGCGAAAGGTCATTCAAGCACTCAGTCAGTCAATCAGTCAGTCACTCGGATGTGGACGGACGGATGGATGGATCTCTCGCACATACATCGCACAGGTGGTCTGCAGTCGATGTATAAGCAGCGGCTGCTGCCTCTGGAGCGGGACTTCAAGGCCAACCAGTTCTACGCACCCCTTCTCACAGACGGAGATTTCGCATGTGCGCACCGCACACCCACACGCCTGGCCTGCTCACGTGTGTATGCCATCCCTCTGTGTGTGTGCAGCCAAGCCGATGGTAATGCTCCTCGGCCAGTACAGCACGGGCAAGACCACCTTCATCAAGGTAGGGAGGGAGGGAGGGAGCCAACTACTCCCACACACACACACGAGGAATGTCTGTGATGGCGTGTCTGGTCATCAGCATTTCCTGGAGCGTGAGTACCCCGGTCTGCGGATCGGCCCCGAGCCGACCACTGACAGATTCATCGCCGTCATGGACGGCGCGCACGACCAAGTCATACCGGGTCCGTGTGTATTGAGAGCACTCTCTCACTCACACGTCTGTCTGCATGAGTGTGTATGTGTGTGTGTGGTATGTGGGTGTTGCAGGCAATGCGGCGGTGGTTGACCCGACCAAGGCGTTCAGTCAGCTGTCCAACTTCGGCAACAACTTCCTGGCCAGATTTGAGGTCTCCGTCATGCCCTCACCCGCACTCAAGGGTAGACGTGTGCACACAGTCATCAACGCGCAGATCGTCCATCCATCCATCCATCCATCCATGTGTGTGTGTGTGTGTGTGTGTGTGTGCAGGCATCACTCTGATCGACACCCCAGGCGTCCTCAGCGGCAACAAGCAGACCAGCAGGTCCGTCCGCATGGCCGGCCGTCTGTGCGTGCGCAGAGTTGGGATCTGTCTGTCTGTGTGTGTGTGGCTGTGCAGGGGCTATGACTTTGAGGGCGTCATCAAGTGGTTCGGCGACCAGAGCGACCTCATCCTGGTACCTTTCCACCTACACCCGCACCCGCACCACACACATACAAACACGAGGGTGGTGACTGCGGATGGATGGACTGATGGATGCAGTTGATATTCGACGCGCACAAGCTGGATATCAGCGACGAGTTCCGGAGGTGCATACAGGCGCTCCGGTAGACACACAGACACACAGACACACACACACAGGCAGACAGACAGGCAAGATTCACATGGATGGATGGATGGATGTGTGGATGTGTGCAGTGGCAACGACACCAAGATCCGGATCTTGCTCAACAAGGCCGACATGGTCAACACCCAGCAGCTCATGCGCGTCTACGGCGCACTCATGTGGTCACTCGGCAAAGGTTCAAAATGAAGGCTCACACCGCTCAGAACAGCTTGTTCAAATGAAATGTGTGTGTCTGTGTCTGTCTGTCTGTCTGTCTGTGCACCAATGCAGTGATCCCGACGCCCGAGGTGGCCCGCGTGTACATTGGCTCCTTCTGGGATCAGCCCCTGCAGAACGACGAGAACCGCAAGCTGTTCGAGGCCGAGGTGGGTAAGACCAGCCGACCAGCCCAGGAAGGAGCTCAGACGAGTGATCTGCTGTGCGGTGAGGGGTTGCCTTGCCTGTGCTGCGGGTGTGCTGTGCAGGCCAACGACTTGTATACGGACATCCAGCTGCTGCCGCGCAACGCGGCCGTGAGGAAGCTCAACGACTTCATCAAAAGGGCCAGGCTCGCAAAGGTACTTTGGCTAGGTGGTTTAGACATACAGACAGACAGATACAGACGTGTGTCTGTCTATTCTCTGCAAAAACCCACCCTCCTGTATGTGCGCTGCAGACGCACTGCTACCTCCTGAGTTACCTGCGGAAGCAGATGCCCTCGGTCTTCGGCAAACAGCAGAAGCAAAAACAGCTCATACAGAACCTTGACGTACGCACAAACCACACACCCGCTCACGCACATGGTCTCTCTCTCTCTCTCTCTCTGCGTGCGTGTGTGTGTGTGTGGTCAGGGCGTGTACAGAGCGCTTGCGCAGGAGCACTCTCTGCCGCTTGGCGACTTCCCGCCAATACAGCTCGTGCAGGACAAACTCGCACAATTCGACTTCAGGTGCGTCCGTCGGCAGGGGTGATGCTCGTGTGCGTGTGGGCATACACATCCGTCCGTCCGCCCCCGTGGCTGTGGTGTGGGTGTGGGTGTGTGCAGCAAGCTGCCCAAGCTGGACCACAAGCGCATCGAGCTGCTGGACGAGATGCTGTCACACCAGATCCCCAACCTCATGAAACTCATACCCGCAGAAGAGGTCCGATAGATGCGACGGACAAATGCGTCACACACGTGTGTGGTGGCAATCAACGCCCCGTCTCTTTCTCTCTCCCTCTCTCTCTCTGTGTGTCTCTCTCCGTGTGTATCTGTGTGTCCTTTCTGCAGAGGCAGACCGAAGAGGCATTGCCCGAGAGCGTCATGCACGCGGCCGAACCAAGCCCGTTCCAGGCAGGCACATACATACCAGCCGCACATCAACACGCCTTCATGACCTGTACACACACACACACACATATCACATCACATGTGTGTGTCTGTCGTGTCGGCGCGTGCAGATCTTGAAGCAGCAGGGAGGCCCCGCGGCGCCCGGCTACGAGCTGGACAGATGGTAATGACGCGCGCCTAGAGACAGACAGATTCAAACAGAGAGAAACAGACAGACACCCACGGCACTTTACATGAGACACGTACGTGCAGGCTGCGGACGCCCCCCAACACCGGCGAGTTCGAGGCGGACTTCGTGGCGCTGGGGCCCGACCACCAAGGTCGGTACGGCCGGACACACAGAGACACAGACACCCACACAGACGTGCCTGCGTGTGTGTGTGTGTGTGTGTGTGCAGGACGCATCACGGGCGCACAGGCGAAGGATGACCTAACCAGGAGCAAACTGCCCTCCACAGTGCTGCACAAGTGTGTGAGAGCAGCCATGCCTCCCCGCAACCTCCCCTCTCACACACGAAGGCCTTTCTCCCTCTCCCTCTCCCCCTCCCTCCCTCTGCGCGCGTGTGTGTGTGTGTGTGTAGGATATGGAACTTGGCTGACGTGACGCGGGACGGCTACCTGGACATCTACGAGTACGCCCTCTGTCGGCACTTCATCGCCATGAAGCTCTCAGGTTGGGAGCTGTCTGTGTGTGTGTTGAAAGACTGTATGGCTGGATTTGGCTGCACGGCTGCACGTCTGTGTGCAGGTCACGAGCTGCCGGCAGAGCTGCCCGACGAGCTGCACCCCAACAAGGGCCAGCAGGCCATCTCTGTGTGACCTAGTTGTGTGTGGGGGGGGTGTGGTGTGTGGGCGTGTGTGTGTATCCTTCCAGCGGGTCGGAGGGACGGCCGGCCTACGTTTTGGAGTAGAGGAACGAAGAGGCGTGAGACTGATTTTTCTCTTCTCGTTTTTCTTTTTATCCAACGATTCATGCGGGTGAGGGTGCACGTGTGCGTATGTGTGTGGTTTTGTAGACATAGTCAGCTATTTGTAGCCCCACACACACACATCCACACATCATGGCGTAGGTAGGAACTTTCTCGACTCACTCAAGGCGGCGTGTGTAGTGAGCTGATTTGATTGATGTCCGTTCGTTTCGTTCAATCACCCACCCATCCAGTGCCAACACCCACGCGCCACACACGATGACGCAGGCAGGCAAGGCGTGTAAAAGGTCATCTCACCACACAACACACACGCACACATGAAGTCTGTGCGCAAAAGCCCTGTCCATCCGTTCCATCACACCACACGAGAGGCAAGCCAGCCAGCCATCACAACCACAGCCCCTCCAGCCTCATATGCTCAGAAGAAGAAGCCGAGCAGCTTGCCGCCAACATGCTTCCGACGAGCCTCCTACAAGCACATAACATCATCACACCACACCATACACAGCACGATGAGCAGATCGATGGTCCGTAAGAAGTGGCTGATTTGATCTGCTGCCTGCCATCAAACTGTCCGACTGACTGACCTCATGGTCGAGTATGCCGTCAGAGGTGGTGAGCACCAGGTGGCCAAACTGCCTGGAGGGCAGGAGGTTCTCGCAGATCTGCTCGATGTCGCCCAGCCGGATGTCGTATCGCGGCGAGATGACGGCGCACTTGTTGATCCGCCCCAGCAGGTCCACCACGATCTTGCCGCTCCGGTGGTCGTCGACGATCTCAAAGTCGCCGATGTAACCTGGGTAGGTGGCCAAGAGAGAATGGAACAAACGTGTTGACACATCCATCCATCCATCGTGAGTCTGTCTGTGTTAGAGTTGGTGTCCGTCGTTGTGTGGTGTGGAGCGCACCTCTCTTCTGCATGCACTTGAGGAACTTGACAATGACCTTGGAGGCGGGACGGATCAACACCTGACCAACCGAGCAACAGCCACACAGACAGACAGACAGACATAGCCAGGATGTCGTGTGGTGTCTGTGCGTCACATACCTGTCTTCGCCCCCTCCGCTCGGCGTTGACAATCGACTTGAGGCAGTCGTTCAACACGCTGATGCGAACCATCTGGCGCACACACACAGAAAGGGATGATGTTCATCGTCGGCGTCTGCGACTGCTCAGCGCACACACAGCCTCCCTCCCTCCCTGTCCTTCCTGCCTGCCCTTCTCGCAGCAACACACTCCCACCTCCCTACGAGCAATCCCTCCCTCCCCCCGTGCCTGCCGCCTGTCCGACCCTCCAGTCACTATCTGGCTGCCTCGGAAGGCACAAACTACTGATCTCTCCACTTTCTTCACGCCATCTCTTCCCATACGTGTCCCTCTCACCTTGGTGGCGCACGTGCGTGTCCAGGACCTTCCTTGCCGGTTTTCGCTTGCGAGCTAAGATGGCAGACTCCCTGAGCTCGCAGAGAATCCTCACCTTGAAGGAGAAGGACAACACCACATCCCTCTGCACACCTGACACCGTTGGTGCCATGCCTCTGCAGCAGTCTGACAAAACGACTGCGCAAGATAGTTCAACGAGTCCGGCCCATGGGGAGGCGGTTTCCGCCTCAACTCGAGGCCTGGCCAGCAGCATGAGGACGCTGTCCGCCCCTTTAGGCCCGGTAGCGCCGCAATCCCTCTCCACCACGCTCTTGGAGAATGTCGTTGACACCGGGAGGCTTGAGAAGAGGCACCAGGCACAAGCACAAGCCCAGGCACACCACACTGTGGTGAGCAGAGGGGAGGGAGCACACCCTCCCTGAAACACGCACGCCACATCTCTCCTCTGCGTGTGTGTGTCTGCGGGGTATGTGACTCTAGGACGTCGGCGGCCCACTGTTGGACCATGGTGGCGGTGCATCTGGCCGCCATATGTCCATGCCCCCCGTCGTGGCAAAACCCCCGGCCGGTCGGGACAGGCCTGCGATGGGCCGTCTGTCGTCGGTCGACCAGCTCATCCTGGGCGAGTACAACGACTACCTCATCCGAGAGGTCACCAACGAGCAGGACACCAGCCTCCTGGCGAGCACGGCCTCGGGCGGGGACATGAGCGACTTCTCCAGCTACCACCAGTATCAGTGGGACGACCTCGGGGACGCATACCATTCGCTGGACGGGGGCGATGTGACGGACGTACGGCGGTATTCCTCATTGGATGCGTTGGGCGTGTCGGACTCACGGAGGGCCGTGGCGCAGATACAGGTAAGGTAGAACGCCTGACTGCCTGCCTGCATGGACAGAAAGAAAGACTCAATGCGGCGTTGTCTCGCACTGAGGATTTTGTTGTTTGTGTGGATGTGTGGATGTGGGCGTGGCGCTTGTAGGGGTATCGAGCTACTCCTGCTGACCCGCTGACCCTCCTGAGCCCGGGGGAGATCAGGCGGGCGGCAGTGGTGGGGCTCACCATGTGCGTCCTGTCGACTGCATGCTTCGCCACCATGTCTCTATTCGTCAAACTCAACGCCCTCGCGCACATCGGTGAGACAACAACGGCATCAAGCGCCTCAGAGGCCCGAGCGTGTGTTTGGCCACTGTCGCGTGTGTGCGTGTGTGTGTGTGGATGGATTGTCAGGTTCTGCCGAGACGATGTTCCTGCGGTGTTGTTTCCAGTTCCTTGTGACGCTGGTGTGGATCAAGCTTGGCACTCTGCCGCACCAGCCGCTCGACAAACCCATTCTGCCGCCGCCGACCAGGCGGATGCCGCACCTAAGGTCAGATCAGATAGATACCCACGCCACAGCAAAGGCGGAAGAGCCCTTATCTGTGTGCGTGTGTGGTCCGGTGTGTGGATGGATTGTCAGGTATTGGGTGATACTGCGCGGTGTCGTGGACTGCATCGGGGTGTCGTGCTACTACGTGGCCCTGACGAAGCTCAGCCTCGCATACGCGACCATCCTCTACTTCACTGCACCGTTTTTCGCCGGTCAGTACTGACACAAGAGAACACACACACACACACGGAGATCGATCGCATGAATGAGTGTGTGTGTCCCGCCCTGCTCACAGGCATCACGTCCCGTCTGCTGATCAAGGAGCCTTATGGCTTGGCCGAGGCGCTCTATGGTATCGGTGCCATCTTTGGCGTGGCTCTGTCGTCCATCGGCGAATCGGGGGCTGCTGGCAGCCCCGGCACGCCCACCGACCGAGCAGACCAGATCGTGGGCATCGTGTGCGCCCTGTTCGGTGCCTTCTGCCAGGGACTCACCTTCTGCTTTATCCGCAAGATCGGTCTCCGGGCTCATTACCTGCAGCTTGTGAATGCCTTCGCCTCGGCCGGCATCGCCTTGATGCCGATCTTCTTGCTGATCCAGGGCCACTGGCCTTGGGAGGACACTCGGGCGCGGTGGACCTGGGTAGTGATGGTCTACACGCTGTGTATCGGGACCTTTGCCACTATTGGGCAGCTCTTCCTGAATCTGGGGGCGCAGCGGATCAAGGCGAGCGTTGCGTCGCTGCTGAGGACGCTGGACATTCTCTTCACGCTGATACTGCAGATGCTGGTGCTCAACGAACCACCGCCCGTACTCAGCTGTGTGGGCTGCTTTGTGATCATTCTGTGCTGTACACTGTCGGCGGGGAGCCGACACCATTGAGAGACGACAGAGAGAGGGGGAGAGGGGGAGAGGGAGGGAGGGAGGGAGGGAGGGGCCTGTCTGCCTGTCTGTCTGTCTGTTCGGTGTACATACATACATATCTCGCTGGCTCACCTGTACACGTGACACTCCCAAGTTTTGACCCGCATTTTGCTCTCTCGGGGCATACACACCCACCCAATGCAATGCACATGTCGTCCGTCTTGTGCTCACTTCTCAGCCGTGATGAGAGGGCCGGGCCCATTGTCCTTTATTTTTTGGGCCGCTCAGTCAGTAAGTGGGAGGGGGAGGGAGGGAGGGAGGGACCGGCCAGCCACAGCTGTCTGTGTAGATGTGGTGTCGGCACAGGGGTGCTGGGTGGTCGATGGACGGCTTGTTGTATACAGACGGTCGTGAGTCGCTTTCTGTCTGTGATATGTGTACGGTCCGCAAAGCGTCAGTAACTAATTGTTCGACAGAGAGAGAGACAGCCATGTGACCTCATACACGAGTTCGTCGTGCTGCTCGTGCCATTGTGGGCTCCTCTTTGTGTGTGTCCTGGCCTGCGGTCGTCCTTTCGGCTCATCACGAACGATGCGCCCAGAGACCGACCGGTGGGGCGACGCTGCACATGATTGAGGCTCACTCTGTGGTGTGCAGGGGCGTTTTGCCGCCCTTGATTGGCGAGTTGCGTGCCGCGCCATCCAGACTGTTGTCTGAGTCGTTGTCAATCAATCATGCGCACAAGACAATTATTTCCACCATTTGCTTGATGAGCGTCAGAAGGGTCCGTCATGCATCACACTCAGACGTGTCAACGGCAAATATCACATCAGTCTGGCGTGTCATTGTGATACGAGACAAAGACATAAGCCTGTCTGTCCTATGACGACGAGCTGTGCGTCGGTGTGTCTTATTGTCCTGTACATGAACACACCGAAGGACGTCCAGCCATAGTCAGGGGGCTCATAGGTCTGGCTATGCAAGGAAAGCATGGTCAGAGAGCAATCATTGATACAGCTAAGCACTCGTCGAGAGGGCTCCGTCTCCCTACATATACGACACGTATATATACACAGGTCAACTCAGCCCCCGAGGTAAGTCAGTATCGATCCTCGCTCAGTCACGTCAACACCCTGGCTCTTACCTATCGATAAGGGTCGCCTATCATGAAATATATATACAGTGCATAGATGTAGTTGTAGAGAAACTCGCCCACCATCACAGGTATGAACCAATACAGCCAATCGGACACGACCCCTGGCACCCAGTGGCTGGGACCGTCCCACTTGATCTCAGAAAATATCCAACCAACCAGCCAGCAAAGCGGCACCAAACAGAAATTCGCGGCACTCAGTCGCTTCTGAAAGAAGAAGAAGACAACTCAACAGCAGCCCGAGAAGGAGGGAGGGTGACTTACCGCAGCTTCATCGTAACGGATCATCACCTGTCTCTCCACCATTATCACCTGGGCCGCTAGGTGGAGCACCCAGTCTACTGAGTCCTCCTCTGTATCGCACACAAACTCAAATAAAAGCACAGTACAAGATACCCTCATTCCTCAATACATACCAAGATCCGAGTGGAACATCTGGTATTCGTTTGTCTGTCTGATCCTGGATTCGATGCCTGTAGAAGATACGATGTTGACCTCTTTCCCCTGCCTCTTCCCTTATGTGTCCCGCGCCTACAGTGAAGTAAGGCGCCGATGTAGTGTGCGATGACCCCGGACAGTCGAATGAATGTCCCTCTCGCAGCAATCTCCACAAAGCTCTTCCAGAACTGGCCGCCCTTGTAGCCCAACACCACCGCCCCGATCAGCATCACAACGCACAGGATCACAGTCGACGTATTCTGCACAGAGAACACCACAGGCAAGAGCAAGGATGGGCTCTAGAGATGGGCTGTGGCTCACTAACTTTCCTCCTCCATCGACCTACCCTGGCGCCGATGGTCCATTGATGGGGCACCCAAGCCATGAGGCTCCCGGCTCGTCTGCGTCTCCCAATCCGTCCAGAAACGCCGTCGCGTCCGCTCCTTGTAGCAGTGTCGGACGCGCCGCAGTGGCTGCCATGTCACTTGCTGCATGTACCGCACATACAGACAGACAGAAAAGAAAATCAGACACATCTTGGAGGCATCTGCTGACAGACGTGTGCATCATGATGTGCACATGTGCATCTTGCGTGCGCGGTGCGTGTGTGTACAAACGTCGCGGTTGGATGTGTGGATGGTGAATTATTGCTGCTGCTGACGATTCTACACGTCAATCTTGGGAGCCAAACACCTGCACACACACACCGACAAAGCAATCTCCCCATTCGCTGTCGGCACATGCAGAGGACACCTCGGGAGAGAGGAGAGAGGGGAGGGAAAAGAAGGGCACCGATCGGCAAACGCGAGCTTAGACGTGCGAAAGGAAAACGCAAAGATCGCAGCAGAGAGGCTCACAGGAAGGCCACACATGTACTCATCTCATCGTGGGAATTAATGTGGATCGAAAAGGTGTTGACTATGTTCCGTCCGCCACCGCAGCCGCAGCTGGGACCAGACCAGGTGTACGAACGAGTGCACAATATCAGGCCGGTGGACGAAGGGGAAAGGAAGTTCTGTGATACCGTCAACGGTGCGCACCGCAGGCAGCCACACAGGGGAGAGTGAGGGTGACTGACTGACTCTATGTTTGACGGACTTGACGGACTCTCTCCTCTCTCTTTTGACCGCAGCCACCCTGCCCATATGGCGTTCCATGACGGTGAGCAACCCACAGCAGACCAGACAGACCATCGAGGGCACGCATCCGAACAGAGCACATGGATGGATGTGTGTGTGTGCTCTGTCATGCGTGCAGGAGGAAGAGAAGGAGGCCGTGCTGAAGCAGTGTACGGAATTCCCAGGTATCCACGTCCACCCAGTGAATGCCTGCCCCCCTGCCTGTCTGCGTGTGTGCATCAGAGCGTGCCAGTGAGTGAGCGGAGGAGGCAGCCACGCAGCACCATTCACCTCACACACAACATTATCAACACAGATTATTCCCCGCTTTCTGACTGCCCGGCTGGGTATGCTATGCTATGCCTGTCTGCCGCAGCTCTGAGCGATGCGCAGAAAGTTGCATTGGACGACCTGGCCGTTGTGTACCACAGCTGCGCGGCCGTCGAGCTCCTTGAGAGGGAGGCTGCAGCTGCTGCACGACTACCACACAACAGACTAAAACGGTGAGTGTGTGTGTGGGTCTGGCCGGAGTGCCTTTGCTGCCTCAGTCAGTCAGTCGCCCACCGTGAGCCCCTGGCTGCCTGCGTGTGTGCGTGCAGGTATTTGAGTGACACCTTCAGGTCCGTCCTGTCGTGCATTTCTCCCTCAGCTGAGGTCCCCGCTGCCACTGACGGACCCCTTGATGACGAGGAGCTATCACCACCGACACACACGTGCACACGGAGCGGTCAGTCAGGTGTAGGAAGCAGCAGAGTAAGCCTGCCGACAGTAGTAGCGAGAGGGCTCTGCTGCCCGCCAGATAGAACAAGGCAAGATTTCCAGACTGACAGACGAACAGACAGACAGTGAGTGACTACCGTATCACTCACATCAGTGGCGGGCGGGCGGGCTGGCGGACAGTCACTCGCAAGGCCAGTAGCTGTCCAGACAGGGGCTGGACTGGTTTTTGAGTCAGGGTGCTGGCTGCATGGGGGATGAGAGTGATGGAATGGATGGCCTATACTGACTGAGTCAGGTAGTTCGATGGTCGGACTCTGACCCAACAAACGTCTTATGTCGCGCTGCTCTGTACATTGCTCGTTTATTGTTGATACGCATGGGTGCAGTCCCCCGCTCGTCTGTGCGATGGGCCAACACGTCCTCGACACACGCGCATACGCACGACGCGAGGAAGGGATAGGTACCGAGAGCACGCAGAGAGACAGCCAAGCACCAGGGGGAGGCACGATTGGTAGCCATCATACCTGCGTCTCCCTCACATGATACACACACACACACACACAGGTCAGCCCCCTGGGTAAGTATGTCACACATACAGACGCTCTCGGCACTCAAAGCCGCCCAGAACAACGCAGAAAAAAGTCAGCCAGTCAGTCAGTCAGTCGCTCAGAAGTGAAAAAGTGTTGCCATTTGGCTGATCAGCTGATCAGCTGCTTAGCAGATTGTCCATCAATAGCAGTGAGGCGGAGGTTCTCGGCACGCAGAGAGAGCTCAATGCCGCCGACAGACAAGGCCACTCGATAGCTGCACACATACAACAGAGAGAGAGAGAGAGAGACCGACAGTGGTCATACAACACTGTGAGTTGTCTTCCCACACGTGCACTGTGTCCGACGCCACCAGCACAAGGCGCCAGCTTAGTACTTTGCAAACCAGGAGACGGAGACGTCGTTCAAGCGCCGTGTTCTCCTGCATTGTTTTCCAGCTCATCGGGCGTCATCTCCTTCAGCTTTTCCCTTTTCTGGCTGGTTTCCCGCCCATTCCACCCGCCTCAGCCTCTCTCGCCCCTCTCTCCCTTCCTCTGGGTGGCACCGGCAACCAGCCGCCTCGCCGCCCGTCCGCCCGCCCTTATCGCGGCATCAGCCAGCCGGCCCAGCCGCTCCTGGCCAAGGATCCACGGGTGCAGTCTGTCTGCCCACCGCGTCGCTCCCATCGTCGGTGTTTGTTTCAGGTACGATTAATGCTCAATGTGTGAAGAGAGACATGGCTTTTGTGCACATTTGCTTGTCTTCTGTTGCCAGCGAGGGCAGTCGACAGCACGGGATTTACCCCCCACACCTGCAGTGCTGCTGCCGACGTCACCCGCACCAACCGGTGGCTTGGTTTGTGAAATTGGCGAGAATTCTGGTCGGGAGACGTCACCAGCTGCCGTGTTTTTCATCTTCAGTTTTTTCTATTTCGGCTGGTTTCCCTCGCACCCCGCCCACCTCAGCCTCTCCCGCCCCTCCCACTCTTCCTGCAAGTGGCAGCGGCAAGCAGCCGCAATTCGTTATCTTCGCAAACGGACTTTTTCTCAACGTAAAACGGACTTTGGAGTCTGGACGCACAGTCATTCCTTGAGGAACACACATGAATACATGCGATGAGTCAACGAACCTCACGAAAGATGAAGGAGTCTGATTCACATCATATGTACAACCATCTCTCTCGTCAGTCGATCATCTCCTCGTCCTCCTCATCCATCATCTGCTCATCACGATCAGCAGCTGCTGCTGCCGCTGCCGCTGATGCTGATGCTGATGCTGCTGCTGCGGCGGCGGCGGCGGCCACCCTACCCTTCCCTCCTCTGTTGCCCCCCCCACCACGGTTCCTCCCTCCTCTGTTGCCCCCACCACCACCACCGCCGACCCCTCCGCCCCTCTTGCCCCCTTTGGCTCCTGTGACGGTGGGTGCCATGGTCGTGTGGTTGTTGCGCGGCCGCTTGGTGCCCATCACGGGCTCTTCCTCATCGTCCTCCTCACCACCGCCACCATACGCCATCACCTCGCTGCCCTCCGAGTGTTGGTGCGCACGGATTGATCCTCGCTGCGGAGGTGCCTGCAGCCAAACATGTCAATCGCTGATGCATCTGACGCCCTCCCATGCACATTCCCACGTGCTCTCATCTGACCAATTTGCGTTTGACGCCATGTTTGGGGGCGCTCTTGGGCTTGGTGCTGCCCGGCAGAGCCAGCAGCACGGTGGTGGTCGGAGGCTCACTCATCTGATAGTTGTTCCAGAAGAAGCCCATGACGGGGGCGGAGAAGACCAGCTTGGGCCGGGCCTCACACCGTGCTGGCCAAGCTGGTTGTTGGGATGGTCGTCCTTCAGATTGACGAGATGAAGGACCTACACCCAACAAGGAGACAGACAGACAGGATGACAACAGATATCCATCCCCGCCCATCTGTTGGTGTGGCCGACCTGGTTGTCGACGATCAGTTTGGTCAGTTTCTTCTGCAGGGATACGTAGGAATGGCTCAGAAGGAAGAGCCCCGGCCCACGCTCGATCGCCTGCCGGCTGGCATGACACCAATACACCCGCGTCGCCCCACAAACAGCCTGCCGAATCACGCATACAAACAAACACGAAACAGAAAACGATACCTGCATGAATAGCGGCCTGGCCTGGTCTGTCCGTGCAGACATGCATTACCATTGCCAGCACCCCATCAGCCGACTCCCCCGCATACACCGTGCAGCCCCGCGTCATGCCCATTGCCGTGCGCGTGATCTCCTGAAGGCTCTTGCGATTTGAATGCTCCAACACAGCCCGATATGTACTGCTTCACGTATGCATCAGCCGTCTGCTGGTGTGGTAGGAGTCTCGGCTTCTTGGTGTCCGACGGGCCAGAGCACTGCTCCATGTCCCAGCAATACTCGCTCGTCACCGGGCTGTCGCATGGCCTGATCACATCCAGTGTGCGTGGAGCGCATGCATGGAGAGGGTCGTTTATGACGTAGCTGACCTCAGGCAGCAGCGTGTATGGCTTGTGGCGAGGCGCTCTCACGGCCTGGTCGTTGGTAGTCGGCAGCAGGTTGGTCGCCAGGCTATTCGACATCAGGCTCGGATGGCCCTGGCGAGCCAGCGTGTGGCCCTTGGGCTGCCGCTGCCGCTCATGGAACCGAAACAATCCGTCTGTCGGATGCACACACAATGACAAGACACACACAGATCAGAAAGAGCGACAGGACATTGAGGCTCTCTGCCTGTCCGTCCGTTGAGCCCCGTGTGTGTGTCATGGATGCTCACAGTCAGGTTGCTGCGATCGACTCCTTCCGGCTCGTCCGGAGGCTTGACGGGATACTTCGGTCCGTAGCCGTACACCAAAGTCATCGCTACAGTCAGCTGAATGTAAGCCAAGGGAAGACACAGATGGATGCCATGGTCGTGTGGTTGTGCAGAGTGGGTGGTGCCTGACCTGCTATGCGGTACTGCTCTGTATGCGATTCCTCTCGGTTGAGGATGACGTGACCGTACTTGACCGTCACTCCACTGCACCACTGACTGACCTGTCGTCTTCCTTTGCCACCTCCTGCTTGGGCACAGCGGCAGGTGTGGCGGGTGGTGCTGCCGGGGCCGCCTGTGCCTTGCTGGCTGCCTTCTTGAGCTCATCCTGCAGCTGCTTGTACATGACCTCTCGCTGGAACAAAGCATTCTTCAACCTATCATCGGCTGCACAGAGAGGGACAATCCACAGGTCCCGTGCGTGACGCACAGGCACACTCAGATTGTTTCTTGCTTACGAGATGCTGTTGAAGGATCTCTGGCCACGAGCATTGTGGTGGGCTGGGACGACTGCACACACAAAGAACAGAAGAGATGATGGAAGCGAATACATCATGTCCGTGTTGTCTGCCTGTAGATGTGTGTCGGTGCTGACCCGTTGCTTGTGTGCATTGCTGCCGGTGCGCTCAAGCAGAGATGGGAGGGGCCCCTGCTGCAACCACGGGCACACGAACAGCGCACAGGGAGAGAGATGATCTGCAGTCAGATCTTTTCAGATCTCTCTTGCATGGCGGCTTACCTGGAACGCCTCCGCGCTGACGATGGCAGATAAAGCCAAGAAGCAAAGCGTCGTGGGAGACACTCAGATCTGTTTCCAGCTCGCAATGACGGCTAAGCTCGCAGGCGATTGTTGGAGAAGGGGGGAGGACAGGCAAACGACAATGCATTCACCGTGGCTGTTCCTTCTTCTTTACTCTGTCATGCGGGTCGTCTTGAGAAGAATGAAGAGAACGAGCGTGTGATAGACGCCTCCCCCGAGGCCAGATACGTTCATACGCGAGTTCATGCGGGCGGTGCATGACTCGCTTCCTACCCCTTGACGGGCCCACACATCAGGCGCAGCGATGGACGCATCGATGGGCCCACACAGGTCGGTAGTGAGTGCGCATTATGAGTTGGGGCTGTCATTCAGTCATTGGGATGGCTTCCATATGGATGTCACATCTACAGGTTGATGATCGACGTTGATGAAGACGACGAAAGGCCTCGCCAGGATGAGACAAATGCATTCGATCTAACGGCATCCGTCATGATACGCTCAGGACAGCCGTGCACGTCATGTGATGACTTCTGTGATCGCATGTGTATCCGCTACCCTTTGCAGGGTGG